ATTACTGTTGATGATGTTTATTGCCTCGTAAAACCATAATCCTAAATTATTATTTTATAGTACTGTCTGATATGCCTAATTTTTTTAGTACCTTTACTATGTAGAAAACTTGCTCTAGCAGGTATGTTCCTTCCCCCCCCCCCCGGCTGTATTATCTTTCAGCTTTTTTCTCTTGGCTTGGGTTGTTTGATTTTCATCTTGCACTTTTTGAATGTTTTTTTCCTTCTTTATGGTGGGAGGGGAAAAATAGAAGAGGTAGAAGCTACATTTTCATTGCTTTTGGAGCTAAATCTAATGACAGTTGTACCGACAATTTTCTTCTGTGTTTACATGCAGCCAGGAGCTATGGGCGGAGAAGAGGTAAAAGTATTTACTAAATGTTTTGTTTGCTGAATAGTGGGAGAATTAAATATTTAGTTTTCTTATGATGTTACCGATTTTAACGTTTTGTTGATCAGTTGTTTCATATAAATCAATCTTATATTCTTCACTTGCAAAACAACTCCCTTTTAATAGCATCTTAAAGCAATGATGATCTTGAGCTGGTAACTTCAAGTGTGTTGCTATTACTAGTGAACTGGAGGATGACTGGATGTAAAGAGTCTTTCATTATATGTATTTGTGACTTGAAATGTGTAACATTCAAAAAGAAAATAGACTCTGTGTTTGGTGTTTTTTTGGTTTTTTTGTAAAGTCCAGTGTTTAACCACTGCATTGAACATTTCGATTACTTTTTTTTCGATGAAACAGCTTTCACTGAATATTACACTTGACTATTACATTGAATTGCCTCAGGTAAAACATGTGTGAATACCAATACTAATAACTTTCCTCAACAGTGAATATTAATAATAGAGACAGTATTTGAGCACATTTTAACTGTATTTCATCATAGAAAACCCTTAAAAAATTAAAGCAAACTGAAAGCATTTTACAAATGTACAGTGCTGCATATCAGTTTATTCTGAGAGATTAATGAACAAGGACAGTAGCAAGTTTGCTGACTACTAAGAAAGTTGTGATAGCAGCTTACATTTCTGTACTGTGCTGTAGCTTATACAGACTAGGTTTATTAAGAAATAACAGTGAAAATTGCGGCTTTTAACAATTAGAGTTAGGCAGTGCCATCTGCTTGGGGTACTTAAGCATTAAACTTAATTTTATCTTCTTTTCTGTGATGGTCTCGGACAGCTATGCAGGTGACATTGCTTCCTTTTCAAAATGTAGAATTTGCATCGTGTTTCTGAGAAGCTGGAGGCAGACATAGCCCTCACACAGGCCGACAGTGTGTGAAGGAACTTGTAATTTGCACTGAGGATTCAGGCACTGGACTGCAGAGGCTGTACTAACACAGTTTATGATAAAGTATTCAGCTGATTTGGTTCAAAGCTGACTGGTTTTCCTGTTTTTTTGATAGCTGAAACAAAACCAAAAGATTCCAGTTTTCCTCACAAACTTACCTGCTCATATTTCCCCACCTCCAGAGATTGAGCTACTGTTAACAGATGTTAAAGGCATCCTGATACTTTTTCAGGGCTCTCATGGTACTGAAACAAATTGGGAAGTATGTGGAGTATATAATACTGTATACTCTCTATGCATGTGAACCCTGTTTATTTTCATTTTAAGATTGTGGCAAATGTTTCCAGATTGATCAAATGGCACCAAAGTAGGAAAGGAGGTAGGAAGCAGTAGGACACTGTTGCAACTCACATTTACTTGTAGAAGCCCAATATAATAATGTGGCAGTAATTGTGATGAATACAGTGTAGGCTGTTTTATAAAAATGGTAGTGATGACAAAACAGGGCAAACAAGTTCTGAATGTGCTGGACTTCCAGAAATTTTTTTTTCACTCTACCAGAAAGCATGTTTCACTCTATAAACTTGTTTCCTGTGTGAAATGCAGGCTCTTCTATACTAACAAGTAGATTTGTGTGTGTGTCTTGTCATTAACACTCATTCATGCAATATTGAAGTCTGTGATGTTCACGCTTTATCATTACCTTGACTTTAATAATGTTGTTACTGAGCTTTCTTAACCTTAAGAAGCATAAAATTCTACGGTAATCTGTTAAAAAATGATGTGTTGGTTTTAAAATATTCCCATATATCCCTCTCTATTATTGTTTTCACCATTTGTATTGTGATAATATGCAGAGTAACCAGAGACAAGTCTGTCCAGGGATTCATTTCATGTTTGTTATACTTGGGTATTTTAATTAGTGTTTGGTTCTGTTACTGTGACTAAGCATCTTCAGCGAGGAGAGGTTTTGTCAGACATTTTTGGGGGCTTGCCATAAAATATCTGTCCTATACGTGACCCTCTGTTTTCTTTGAGTAAGGAGAGCATTTCTTTGTAGGTATTATGTTTGGGGCTGTTGAGTCATGTTCATGGTACCTTGTTTTTAACTTTTACAACCAGTTTTTCAGGTACAGATGTAAGCATAGCTATGGGAAATCAGCCCAAACTATTTTGCTGCACTGACAACTCAGAGATGCCCGGGGAGGGGTACAGGAGTATATTAAAAAAATAGTACAGTCAGTGATGCTTTCTCATAGTGTTCTCACAGAAATTTGCCTCAGGGGGGTTTCATGAGGTGATGTCTCAATATTTATTGCTTTAGAATGTGCTTTTGTCCTGTTCTTACTCGTTCCATTTTCTAAGCCTACATAAACTTTTCAGGATCCCAAAAAACCTCTGGCAAAGGGTTCCAGAGTTTGCCTTGCTTTCAGCCTTTCCATGTACTGACTGTGTTCAATGCACTTTACTTTTTCCCTTACTGGATGAGACAGTGAACAGTCATTACCTATTCCATTGTCTGTATGTTTTCCATAAATTTAACTCTATCCTTGACTTAAATATAAAGTTTTAGAACATTGTTTCCTTTTTTATAAGGTGAGTACAGTGCTTGTAGACTGTCAAGCATCCAGCATGAGGTGATACCTTGATTTCTAAGCTGCTGTGAATTTTTATTATTCCCTTCAGAACTCAGCACTAAGTGACCTCTGCAAACGTGTATTTTAGTTGAACACCTTGTTCTGGTATTTATTAATTTGATATGTCACCTTCCACTAATGGATCATGTTTGTTTCATTTTTTTACAAGAAGGTAGGTTGGTAGACAGGAATTAAAAGATTATTTAGCTCCTTAGTAATGACAGTTTCTCATAGATATTTTCAAATTTCCTGCTTTTCAGTGGGTTTTCTGATTAGATACTTTTACACAATTGTAGTATTCCTAATTTTTGTTCTCTCCTGCACGTGTTCTCTTTTATGTTGAAATGCATATGTTTATACATGTGCATGACCTGTTTGTCCATTAATGGAATATTCATCAATAGTCTTTCCCCTTTTATGCTCTAAACCCACCATTTCTGACAAGACTTTGAAGAGAAGTATCTCTAAATCCTTCTCTGATTGTGGCATTTACCCTGGTTTTTATGTTAAGGTGTAAAAGTACAGTAGGAATTTTGGTTCAGTGGATTTTTGTGTCTGTGATCTCTGTCAATGTTTAATATTCAATATATTTTTTTCTAATCAAGACTTTTCTAGTGTCTGGTGTTCATAAAAAATTCAGGCTGGTGTTCTGTGCCATTCAGAACATATTTCTTGGTTTGTTGGGGTTTTTTCGGCTTGTTTTCCATATGTAGGATTACTGCTTCGTTTTGTAATCTGTCCTTTGATACTGGAGACTATTACTGATATTTTCAGTGTATATGTTTTTTGACTAGAGTCACACTGTCTTGATTTTCCTCCTTACCCCTGTTTTTGTTTCCTGTACTTCCCTGTGCTGTTACTACCAGGATGGTGTTAATCCTCAGGTCTTGCTGGAAGTCAATTTCTTGTGATCCATTACCTTTGAATTTAATTATGTGCCCTATTATTTATATTTGTAATCAACCCCCCTAATAAACTGTTTGTATCCATTAATTGTAATTCCATCCCTAGGAACAATCATCCATGAAATGAGTGGACAATTAGCCTTTTCAGAGTTGAGATGGGGTTCCCATCTCTCTATATTGCAGGACTTAATTTTCATCTCAGGTATAGGGAATTATTAAATTCTAAATTTGGCATGTTCTACAGTGTTGCTTGTATGCAGAGTGAACTTTTTTCATCTTCTCTATTAATAAATCTGTTAAAATAATGTGTGTATGCCTTTGTAGTAGTAGCAACAAATTAAATGCATCTGATGATCACAAATAAATTTTTTACTTTTCATTAACAAACTGAGTAGCAGCCATTTATGTTGATTTTGCTCATCACTGAAAGGATGTTTTAATACTGAGTAATAAACAGTCTGACAGGCTGTTCCAGCTAACAACTTTTTTATTCAAGTACAAGTTCTTTTTGGTTTATTTAACAAGATTTTTTTCTTATTAGCCAGGTTTCTTCTATGTGTTTAATATTCACAATGCAGAGTTTTCCCATGTTAATTTTGCTGTTTGTGCCCCTACTCAGTGTGGCCTGAGAGGGCCTCTGTTCCCTCCAGGTGGAAGTGCTCCAGCCCTTGTTATTAGGTCCCTGTAAAGCACTCTAAAGTGTGCAGTGACTTGAGGGATCTGCTTTTGAGATGTTCCTGAAAGATCTGTTATGGAAGGTGTAAATCTCTTAAGAATTGGTTTGAAATGTAAATGTTGCAAAGGTCCTTTCTATAGTGATGACAACAATCTCATCAGATAGCTTGTTGGTTTTGTTGCTAGCCATTTGCAAGGCTTTGGTTTAAAGCTAAATTAGGTTTATTGTTTTTGTAAGGGTGATACATCCTTGGAAAAACAGAACATAATTCAGACACCTGGACCACTTAGTTGGGCCCTTTAATGCAAATTCTGTTACAGTAAAACAGTAGAAGGAAGAGCTAACATTTTTTTCTAAAATATTTAATTCTCCAGGAAACAACGTTAACTATAGATGCTACGAAATCTGTTACAGGTCGGTCCTCACTCTTTCCTTTTGAAGATGGCTTCCTAGACGACAGTCATGGTGATCAGTCTTTATCGTCGGGTCTCAGCTCTCCAACGCGCTGTCAAAACGGTGAAAGAGTGGAACGCTATTCTAGAAAGGTGTTTGTTGGAGGTCTTCCTCCTGACATTGATGAAGGTACTGTGAATAAGTTACATTGGTGAGATGTAGGAATTGGCTTTCGTATAATTACTATAAAAAAGGTCAGATTTTGATGAAAACAAATGTATTTTCCCAGATGTGTTGCTTTTAGTGCTTGTGACATTATTTAAAACAAACACAGACTATAATCAACTGCAACACCTGAGAATTTACTTCTTTTGTACTGTAGATCAGAAGAGATGGAGAGAGAAATGGCTGCATTGTAGGTCTTCTGATCTGCATGTCTTCCCACAGCTGTAAAGTAGGAAAGCTAAAAAGGGAACTTATTGGTTACTGTCTTTCCCCCATAGTCTTTTCCTATTCTTAGGTGCGGTTGACTTTAAGGACTTTGTTAATACGGTTCTTTCTGAAATACATTGGGCTTTAATTAATCAGCTCTTATACCCAGCATATATGTAGGGCTCAGATGAAAAATGTAGGGCAGTAATATGGTTACAAAATAGTAACCAGCTTAGCAGAGGTGGTTAGGGTTTTTCTCAATATCTGCTCCACTTGTGTGTGCCTCCACAAACGCTTACTCCCAAACCAAAATCATGACAGTTTTTGGTGAATTTTTCATGTTGTATCTGAAATCCACCACTGTCTAGCTTCAATGGGCGTACACAGGGAATTTGAGGATGCTTTATCATGAAAAGAGGGACATCTGAATCTGATCTACTACACTGAAGTCCGAACCATGTACAGTTTTAATAAAGAAATACTATGAGTTGCTAATCTATGATATGCAAACAGCTCAAATGTGGTTCCTGTGTCACACTGTGAGTTGCAGGGCTGTTGATACAGGGCCTGCTGGGTAATCTGAATCTCCAGCTATAAGAAGAAGCAGGCCAACAAGTACAACTGATGTGAACGTTGCTGGGTCACTCAATCAAAATATATGCCCTGCCTGTCTTGTGAGGAAGTAACATGGCCACCTGGGAGCTGTCACCCTCTTTCATGAGAGGTCTCCTTCAGTAACCCTTTTTCCTTCAGCTCTTCAGTTATATATATAATATGTGTCTTTAGTTGCTTTAGTGCAACTCATGGGGTCAGAGAAACTGGATACACCTCAAACAGCAATCCAAAAATTGGAAAACTCATTTTCTCCAGATGGCTTGTTGCTCTGATCCATCTAGCATCACATTAGACATAATTTTAAACTAATTCTTTACTTTAAAGTAAATTTTAAAAGGCATGGAGAAAAAAAAATTTTTTAAAAACGACTTCAAATACTTCTCTCTGGAGCATTTACATTTAAAACAAAATTGTCACTTAGGATAGTTTGTGATGTGTGTTCCATGCTGTTTCTAAACTGATGCTTATAAAGCAAAGAAATAACTTGGCAATTCAAGGCAGATTTCCTGAGGGGACTGAGGAAGGTGAAATCCCCTCAGCCACATGACCTCCTGCAGCCTGCTTTCTAGGGCACGCTGGAGGAGCGGCTGTGCTGACATGGAGCTCCTCCGTCAGTCCCATGTGGCTACATCTGACCCTGCTTTGTGGCTATAATTAGAAATAGACCACAGCTGAAGCATATTCACTTCTGATAGATCATGTTTGCATTTAATCCTGCTGCAAACTTCCATCAGTAGAATGCGAAATTACTTTTTTAAGCAGCCATTTATAGCATAGAGATGAAAGAATATTTAGGCATCCTCAGTGGACATTATTACAGTTTCCACTTCGTAATGAGTTGTAGAAAGCAGGAAGTCTGGTTTTGTTTTGTTTTAAGTGAGACTTTTTACCTTGCCACGTCAGTCTTCACATTCTGAGGTGCCTCATTTGTTTTTTGTAGATGAGATCACTGCCAGCTTTCGTAGGTTTGGACCTCTTGTGGTGGACTGGCCTCACAAAGCTGAAAGCAAGTCGTATTTTCCACCTAAAGGTAATTAGTTTAAAATACATTTATGCGGGCTCTTTGGTAAGAGGAAATTCTGTCTGCATTGTAGCAATCCATTACAAAGCAAAGATTTGACTCTTTATGATGAATTTGCTGTCTTTCATCAAGCATATTTTCAGCCATTGTCATGATGAAAAAAATCACAATTTGGTTACTGAAATGTGCTCCCTGTGTGTACTTCTTCAGCACACCTTGAGTCCTTGAATTATGCCTTAATTTACACTAGGTAGAAGGCAAGTTGCAGAAATTTCCTAGTGCTGATTCTGTTGCAGTTTGCATATTGCAGAACTCACAAGAGTGAAAACTGGAAGTCATTGTGTGTGTTCTGACTCAAGGAGCTGTGATCCTGCTCGGAACCACAAGCTCTGTGTCAGGGCACTGAACTGTGAGCTCTGCTGAGAGAGAGCAGGCTGGGATCAGGCACCACGGGCTCAGGGATTCGAGGATGGAGCTGATTTGGTTCAGGGTGGTTTAGAGTGTGTGCAGGGGGAGCAATCTCCTATCTGTCAGCAAAACATAATGCGGACCTGTTTTGGTTGAGAAAGAACAGTTTATGGGAAACCTGTTTGGGAGAGTTACTTGGCTAAATCAAACTGCTCTTATTGTACCCTACTCTCTCCTCTGATTTTGTATCATACTATATACATTCTACTCTCAATCACACATGCTTCTTGCATATAGTTTGCAAGTTCACTTGTACTCTGAAACAGTAGCAGGACGTTATACACAAAATTTCTTATCTACGTGTTAAGATTTTCTGTTCTCACTGACCCTGAAAGCTGTTAATTGCTCATTAAGCCCACTGATTATTTTGGCAGAACAATAGGCTGTTTAGTCAGTGAACTAGCTAATCCTATGGTATTTTGATATATACATTATGACTGTAAAAACACACAAATAAAAGCCAGCTTAATTTATTTGAAAGCTTAATTACTGGAGGCAAGTTAGCTCTATGACAAATGGTTGCCCTGTAAACAGTATTTGGGACACTTAAAAACAGAACAGAAACCAATACATGCTTCCTCTTTCCTGTTCCATTCTCAACACTCAGCCTTGCTGTCAGTAGTTATTATGCAACATCTGTTCTTGAATTTAAAAACAAATAACCCCAAAGCCAGCAACAAAACACCCCAAACCTCAATCCCCCCACCATGTATTCGTAAGGACAGTTGGTAAAATGTATGATTTTCCCCTTTTATGGTATTTTTAAAGGTCTTTAGGGTCTTTTTGGCTTGTGAATTCTGATTGTACCTTCACTTGTAAGTTAAAAAAAAAAGTAGCAAGGCCAACTTCTCCTTGTCCTTAATATCTCTTAGTACGCTGCACTTTTTTTTCCCCTTTTTTTCTTTTTTTGCTCTTAATAGTTCAATAAGCAACTACTCATGGTAGATCAACATGGGACTTCCAATTTTGATTTTTTTCTGTATCTGACTGTGGGCTAGTTATGCCTCGTCAAACTTGTAAAACTGTTTTTGAGTAAGATCTATTTGAGCAGAAGACAAGGGAATGCAGCCTCACTTCTATTTTTGTCATGATTCTAATATAGGAAACAGCTTTCAAAGCCCCTGCCAGTTGCCCTGAACGTCTGCCTGAAAGTGCTAAACAACAGTCAATCCCAACTGTTCCAGATTTATTTATAACTGACTTCTTAGTTATCAATCAGGGCTGCAGCATCATAAGTCCTGCATTCCTGTCTGTGAGATTCACTTACAGTCGTGTTAAGCTCGGTAGGTCAAATGTGCTTGATTTACTGTGATCCCATATAGGCAGCATCTGCATAGAAGACAGAATATTATTACCTGGAGTCAAAAGGTAAAGTTTGAATGTGTATTATAATTTTTTCACAGTTTTTTGGTCTAATTTTTTTTTATAAAGAGTACTTATTTTTCAAAGTTATTATGAAATCATTGACTGAAGTTCCACAATAAAATGTCTCCACTGCTGTTTTTAATTAGAAGTTCCTTTAGACCTAAAATTTAAATATCTTTTTTATTTTATTATTTTATTTTAAACTGTTTTGATGCATTATCAAACATCTCTTGAAAAATACAGTGAAATGAAAAGAGATGTTTGAAATGATGCTTAGTGCAAGAATCAGTGACATGACTTATTCAGCTGTCAAGTACTCATGAATTCAAATGTTTTCTCCCTTCATTTTTCTAGATGTCTTCTCTTCCATGTTGCATTGCTAGTCTGTAAACTCTCTGACATTTCGAATATGAGTCTTTCAAATGGAAAATATGTCCGAAAAAAAAGGATGTATGAAATTATAGAGGAGAAAATGAGTTGGGTTTTGTGTGCTAGCAATCTCCAAAGAAAACAGGAAAAATGGATTGTTGGAATGCAGTTGGGATGATGCAGAGGCTAATCTCTGTTCACACATTAATAAAGGCTGACCTTCAAGGCTTCTCCCACCTTCTTGAACGTGCACCAGTGGCAGTAAAATTGAACCCCGCTCTTTCTGAACATATGCCATCACCTCCAGACAGACTTTAGTTTCCTTTTGATGGATAACCTTTTCCATTACTCCTCTGTGTATGCAGGGCAGTGTCTGGGCTTACAACAAAGTTCAATATTTTTTGTCTGTTTGCTTTGATAAGCATTCATTTAGAGGTTTGAAGCAGACAACATCAGTAAGTTGATGCCATGGGTCAGCATAGTCAGTGAAGTTTTATGGAACTGTTTCACATCATGGTTTTCTGTTTTCATAGTTACATCCAGGTGATGTAACATCCTCTACAGTCCTGAGTGAATCAGTACAAACTTCCAGTATCTACTTATTGGTTTAATTTATTGAATTTTGGAATGTTTACTGGGTTGATGCAACATATGAATTCCCAGTAGTCACTCTGTATTAGGAGCACTCTGATATTCTTAGGGCTAGGAAGAAAAGGCTGCAGGGACCATTAGCCATGGCTAATCTGATCAAGCATGAAATCTAAAAGATTAAAATGTTGCTTACAGTCTAGTGACCTCCACCACCACCCACCAGCTCCCCTGAGGGCTTTATCTGGTTAGTTTAGTGAGCAAGTCAGGCCATAGATGCGTAGTCAGTTCCAGCAAGCCTTATTAGCTAATTTATTAATTGGTATGGTTGATTAGCTTAGGTGCAGTGGCATGTAAGCTATCATCAGGTCTAGCTGGAGTCCAGAAACATTCCTGCAGCATTGAGCTTGAACAAAGGTGGTTTTCCTAGATTTGGCATGCTGGGCAGGATGGTGTCACCACAGGTCTGCTTAGGCACACTACCTCAGATTTAGTGCTGGTCCTGATGGACATAAATGTTTGTGTGTGAAATGTGCTGACCTGGATCAGCAGCACGGTCAGTTTCTGAATGCTTAGTGCAGTGTCAACAGTGGCATTTTGGACCTTGGGGGATGGCAGATCAACACAGATATGTCTGCAGCATATTTCTCAAACACATCAGTGCTATCTATATTATCCAGGATTTCCTGTTTTCCCAGATATTCTATGGTTTTGTTACACTTACTGAATCTTGCCTGGCATTACAGAGCATGTGTTTGGGAGAGCAGTGTGGCTTTGTCAACATTTGAATTTTGGTCATTTTAACAGCAAAGCCAAAATAATTTGATGGATCAAGCACACCTTACAGGATGCATTGATTGCCAGTGAGTTCAATATTTAGGTTGCTGAGAGAAGAGGGACTGGTGGCACCCAGCTCTTTTGTCACTGGGAGTCAAAAAAGTCCACTTGTACTCCTGGACCAGAGAAGCTGGTAACAGCTGACAATGTGTGTAACAGGTTCCTGTTTCTAATTCTGAGCATCTGTATTGTTGCCTTAACATTTCTTTTTACCCCTCCTGTGCATTGTAAAGCTTAGCACCATGTTTTTATGTTCATGTCATACATGAGGTGATTTTTAACGCTTTGCCTCTGAATAAGGCCAGTTCATTCCCGTTGCCTGAGAAGTCTTTGGATTATTTCCTTTGGCATTTGTTTGGGTATGTTAGTAATGGAACTGGCAAAATTATAAATGCCACGTGTTGGTCTTGGGTAAGCAGATGCCCAGTTTGTAATGTGTTTACTTGGCTCTCACCACAGAGTTTGGGAATTAAATGTGGTTTGTGGCTAAGTATTTTTTGAGTACCTGTGAGACGCTGAGAAATAAAGAAATATGCATTAAAGAATACTATCAGAAGTAGTTGCACATTACCATGTCACAGTCTATTTATCTCTGGCAAAATCCAGATAATTCATGTTTTATTTAAATAGAAATTGGTGGGGTTTTTACTTACTTGCTGGTCTGCTGAGTTAAACAACACTTATGCTAACTACAGTAGTTTTTTTCCTTTTTTTATTAAACAGATGGTACCAACTGTTTCAAAAACACTCTTTTAGGGTTTTTTTTTTAACCAACTGCTAGCTTTAGAACAACTCTTTAAAAACTCATTACTGCAAAAGTTTTCCTCTGTTTTTTTCCATTTAGAAAGACTAATGTTTGGATAAAGATGAGAATTAGAGTGAGAAAAGGAAGCATGGCAGAGCTAGGAGACAGGATGGGTTTGGAATCAGAGGAATGCTTTGAGTTTACAGTTGATTTAGATGTGTGGTGCAGTAGTCTGATCCTTTTATGTTTTCCCTGTTCTTCAGTTTGTTATTCTGCCATTTGATAAAATTAAGCACATTTGTCCCTAGTGCTCCATATGGGACACTAAGGGTGAGCAAGATGTAATGAAAAAGAAAATAGTGTAAGCCAAGTTTCACAAAGTAACATGAAGTGATTCTCATGCTTTAATTTAAAACAACTGTTGAGAACAGACAGTGTGAGCCTGTCTGATTATCTCTAAGGTATTGTTTAGATGGGAACACTGTTGTTGTAGTCTTTTGTCTTTTGATCTTGATTTCATGGATACGAACCATTTTCATGGTTAATTCCATTGCTACTGCAATGGCAATGGTAGTTTCTGCCAAAGGAACAAGAATGAACGGTTACAAGGAGAAAGTAGGGAGTCGTGTTTCTAGTTTCATCAGTCATATTTACAAGACAGTATCTGGTTTGTCTGAATACAGCAATTTATTCTGCTGAAACTAAGTGCTTTGGCTTAACTGATCAAATTTGATACCACCACAATCCAGAGTGAGATGCCAAGACAATTTTTGTATTTTAAAAACTGAAGTCTGAGATCATAATATTTGTCAGGATGGAAACTGACATTCCTTATCCTTATCCACTCGTGTATTTACTGTTATGTAGTAAATTGTGATTCTGTGATGGTTTTTAGATTTTGTTTGCATATGTTCCAAAACACACACATGCAGTGTCAGGTGTTTACTCATTGACATCTGTGGCCATGTATGTATTTTGCATAATATGTAACCCTGTATCTTCCCACAGCAGAACAGCATAATCCCAAATCAGTGCAGTTCACAAAACATGTGGTAACAAAATGTGGTACATAATAATCTGCTCTTCTGTAGCTGTGTGACTTAAGGTTGGTTTTGCAGAGAATTTTCTTTGAGGTTTTTGTTGACTTTGGTTTAAGCCTCCCTTAGTAAAGCTCTTCACTTTGTTTCCTGTTTTGTTCTAAATGTTTGAGGATTTTTGGTGGTATACTGATAATAATGATTGTTAAATGTCTGTCTTTGAGACTGCTGTACCAGTTACTGGAGTATTCAAGGAGCTTGCTTCATATAAGAGAATTTCTGTCTCTAAAATGATGCCATTTGCAATTTCTTTTTCTAGAGGTAAAGAAGAATCTGGTGAGACAAAATACAAAAATATTTTTGAGCCATCCAGGCCAAGGCAGAAAAAACCTGATTCTAAAGTAATGTTGCAGGATTATTGCCTCCCAGCTTTTATGTTGCTTTCAACGAACGCTATTTACTTTCAGAATTGCTAGGTTGCTATAGAAATTTTTTTTTATCCCTGAAGAAACTACAGTTTTTAGCAAGCATTTATTGACCCTTTTTCAATAATTTGAACATATCTAAGTACAGAAAAAGCTTTCTGTTGCTTATCTATAGAAGTAACCAGACCACTTTTGTCAAATGGAAGTAGTTAAATGTTTGTCTTATTCTCATTAACCACTTCTAAAGCTAAGTAGATTTTACTGTGGGTTGCACACCCACAACCACCCCCAATAATATTTTTATTAAATGTTGCCTTTTGTTTTGTAAATAGAAATACATGGACTGATCTGTAAATATTATGGGCTCCAGGAGAAAAGCAGTCCTTTAGTGGTATTGACTACTTAATATTTTGTGCTTTGCTAGTAGCTTGTGATATGTCTTGTTTTGCTAATAATTTATGAAACACTAAATTATTCTTTCAAATCACTGAAATATGTTCAAGAGGTTGTTAGGGGTGACTGTGAAGAGACAGATCCTGTACTAGGACTGCAGCGTATTCACTGTTTCTGATGGTCATCCAAAAAGTAAGCTACTCCAGCCCACCTGATCAGTTGTAAATAATTTAATGCATTAGAAGCTTGTGCTCTCTTTGTAAATGTCTGCAGGTATTGTATTTATAATAATATGTATTCAGTTCCTAGGATTCCTTCAATGGTGCATGCAATTCTACCCCTAAAATAATGACACAGTAATCTAAAATTAGTGCAAGATCATCAGAATACATACCTCATAAATTTGTCAAACATAATATCCCAAATTATACTTTATGTTCTCTCAAATCAGAGGTTAGAAGTGGCAATGGGAATATTATATCAGGTGCTGGATATGCTGTGGGTGCCTCTGCCCAAGGCAGAGGATCTGCCTGTCTTTGGTTTCAAAAGCTTGGAGCAGCTCAAAACTGG